CCTTATAGTTACCCACTAGATGGGATCTGAAATCTATATAAGAACTAAGTCAAAAGACTGCATTGTAGAATACTGACAAGTAGTGGGGGAATGAATTAATGTATCTAGAAGCTGAATTTGAAAAGCACTCTGAAAATAAGAATAGAGTCAGTCTAGCCAGCACTGCATGGCTGGCCCACATTACTCCACAGCTCCTCCACTTACTAGGAGATTTTAAACCCAAGTGCAAATACAATTACTTAACTCAATAACATTTCGTTAGTCTTGACTAATTTCTAACAAAATCTTTGCTGATTTGTAGAGTTGAAGCCTCCTATAACTGATCTAAACTCTGGTGCTTAAAAAATTTTCATCAGATGTCAGTTACCCTAAATCATCTTCTCTTGTTTTTCACCCACATTTGTCAGAGAATGATAGCTAATTTTTTCCTACGGCATTAGGCTGCTTTCTCATGAACCTCCATCAATTATCTCAATAGTCAGGATTCCTGCATCTATTCTAGTCAAAAAATAAATAAATAAAGGAGAAAAATATATGCCACAGATAGATACTTTTTGTATTTGTGATTGTGGTTCCCTAAATGATTATGTTTCCTTCAACCATGAGAATGATTTTTTCTTCCTGGCTACCTCCTTACCTTTAGCTCATTGTTCTTAGAAGAGTTTGTGTGATTCTAATTTTTTTAAAAAATACTTCAGCTTACCCATTAAGCACATTGCCCTTGTTCTAATGCAATAGTACAAAAGTACTATGGATCTAAGCATTTTAATAGCTCACCAGTACATACATTTCTATTTTTTTAAAAGACCCACATCCTGTTATTAGAATATGGAAATCTAAACTAGATTTAAAACATATTTTTTTAAATAGACATTTTAAGCAAAGTTTTTCATTTTTTTTATCGCCAAACAATGGAAATGTCTTTAAACAGCATAGTTACTTGTTTGAGAAAGTAGATCAAATAAAGCTTATTTTGAGAAATTTGGTATTGGGGCAATGATATAACCAGGTGATCTTCTGAGTTAGTGTATCCAAAGATAGAGTCTGCAGTGTAAATTGCTCTGGAGTCTGTTAAGTGCTATCTAAGAGTCAAGTCAGATCAGTACAAAGTTATGTATTTGGGCTTTTCACTTTATATGATTCATATTATGCTTTGGGCCTTTGATCAAGAAACATGGAGGAAAAAGAAAGAATAAACACAGTGGAAGTTATGGTGCATGGCCTAGATCATCCCATTCATAACTGAGCTTCGCATCCTAATGCGTGATCCTATTTTCTTCACCCTCCTCTGTCGCAGTTCCTGAAAGCACCCTGCATTAACCTCTTGCAGGCAAGTCTCAAAATACGTTTCCTGGTTAACCCAAACTAAGACAGTAAATATGTCTGTTTAAATATAGACATATCAAGAATTTCATTGCATATTTTACAAAAGCTGCTATTGGAATTTTGTTCAATATTACATTCAAGTCCATCATGAAAAAAATCTAGTTTATAGATTTTTAAGTATTCTTAAAAATATTTGTCTATCCTTAGAACTGTTATAACTTAATTACTTAATTACAATTTAATTAATTCCATGTGGTTGAACTACATGGAACTGAGGTTTTGTAGATCAAAAATGGTCAAATGTCTGCAATTTCACCAAGTTTCACCTAATAATATTTATTATTTTCCTTTTTCCTTGGCTGCTGGGATGCTCATGGGTAAATTTTGTGTGTCATTGCAATATTAATCTTCAACCTACATTTTTTGGTGTAAATATCTCACCACATTCACACCTCATATTTATATATAATGTTTTGAAAGATAGACTATAAGCAAATACATTCTTTTAAGTGAAATAAAATAGATTTCAGCATATTGACAAAACCTTGGTATTAAACTGACCATTGTTATTTTTAGTTGCAACAGCAGCATGTCAGAGTGATACTGTTGAAACACAATTCAGGGTTCTTGGGATATGATTTATTTATTATTTTCAAGAGCAAAACTTCCCTACATTTGTATGATCTTAATTTCGTCAACAGTCCAGTGAACTAAATCACAGTCTACAGCTGCTTCAGCTTTCCAAGTGAAGGTTTTGATACACTGATTATGGTTTACCTGCTCCTCTAGTGGATTCCCAAAGATCTCTGAGGTCACTGTAGTTACTCACATATGGCATGGTACTTTAAAGACTCATTCTTTCTTTCATTGAACACATGTGAACACATATTCCCAAGCGCCTGCTGTGCACCATTTTCTAGGTTATGTACAGGAAATGTGGCAGGAAAGCTGCCAGCAAGTGAAGCACAGATCTTGCCCCTGGAGATGCCATATTTTTCTTCCCTGTCTAAACTGTGAACAGACTGTAAGCTCTTTGAAGGCAGACTCTGTAGTTATGTCCCTTCTAAATACTGCTCAGTGCCCACACTATTGGTACTCAAAAAATGTTTCTTATTTAAGTGAATAAATGCACAATGGTAACCTATAGTTTTGTTTACTTCATCCCACAAAATACTGGGGCCTTCATTAAAAGAAATCCATTAGATAGGTTTATGTTTATCTTCGGATTCCAGGCAATTTAAGAGTGTTTCAAAGTAGGCTACACAGGGTTTAACTGAATTTTTACTGTAAGTCATCTCATTGTTCTGACATCAGATTTTTCTGAGGAGTAGTTCAATCACATTCTGCTGGGTCTTCCTTTGCTCCACTAAACTTCTAGACTCATCCTTACAGAGTTCAAGATTGTCCTCACTTTCATCTCCTAAACCTTTGTAATTCTATATTAAAAAAAATAATAATTTAAGCATAATTAGAGTTGTTTTCATTTTATGTTTTATTCTGTCTCTGTACAGAGTAGTCTAATGAGGAGATGGGGGAACGGAAAAAGTACTGATAAAGGAACAGTATTCATGTGAGTTCTTTTTTATGACCAATAGTTCTAACTATCCCAACCTTGTCTTCTTTCATCTTGATCTTTTGCTTTGAAGATTTCCTTCCCATTGCCCCCATGCAAGACCATCTCCTTCTAAGGCCTGATTTATAATCTCTTTCTCTTCTGATTTGTTTTTAAAATCCACTACTTTTGGTAGTATTTTTAACTCACTGTATACATTGCTAAGCTTTTGTTTTGTGTTTATTTCAGTCATTTACTCAAAAGCCACTATTACATAATGTTTAGGAAGGCAGGTTCTGTGTTGTAGCTCAGCAAGGAGGGATGAGGCGTGTCAGTTAACTTAGCTGTCTCAGTGGCTTCATCTACATGGGGCATGGAAATACTACTAATACCCATCTCCAAGACTTATAACAAGGATTAAATGAAATAATGCATGTAAATTGTTCAACACAATGCCTGGTACCTGGCCCATAGTATTATTATCATTATTGTTGTTTTGCTATAGTTGAGATTAATACTATCCAAGTAGATCATAAACTCTGAGAGCCCTGGACCACATCTACGACTTCTCTGGTACTCTTCACGTAATACAAGATGCAATAAGTACTTTAATGGAGGCTTTTAGACTCAGTGGATGAAAAGTGAGAAAGCAATTAGTTCTTTTTAGAACAGAGATAGTTTCCATTTGTAGATACACAGTGTTCTTTAATGTTTAGTTACATTATGTGAAATATAATTTGTGAAACTGAAAATACTACTTATAATGTATACTTTGCAAATATATACAGATTGAGAAGGATTAACTTAAAACTGTCGGATAATCTAAATAGCTACCCTAAAAAAATTACCACTGGCGTTTTAATAAAATGTTATTTTACAACTTTAAAGCTCATAGCAGTATAATTAGTAATACGTGTAATCTTTATTACCAATCTTAATCTTTTTTATCTGACTGAAAAATTATTTTATGGGAGTACAATTAAAATAATGCTAAAAATGTCAGCATAACAGAATTAAACTAAAGTAACTACTACAATATTGTACCCCAAACCAGCTAATTTAAATGCAAAATACTTTGTAAAGGCTATTTATCTGGACTAATGCATGTTAAGGGATTTAAAGAGTAGTTTGTGTAACAGAAATAAAAGGAAAAATAAGCACTGTACAGCAATCCTCTCTATTGTTTAACATGAGGGAAATATTAAATAGGCTTATATATAGGCCACTTGAGGAAAATGTATTAAAAGCCACATCAGAGCATAGTAAATATAAAGGGACTGGCAGGCAAACTACTTTCAGAGGCTTTTAAAGGGAAAGCTTGAAATGCTTAAAATCGTCCTTATACAAATAATGGTATGTCGTTAACTATGATGAGATTGAAGATGCCCAGAATTTAAAGTCTGTGTTTTGAAAAAGGGATTTTAAAATACTGGACAGTTGTTTAGTTGGTATATGACACTGGTTAGATTGTTCTCTGAATGCTTTTTTCTGTCAATTCATAATAAGTCTATGAAATTATTATTATAAAGTGAGAATATGGAAAGGTTTAAAGATAAGACTTTTTAAAAATAAAAGTAAGCTCAGTATAGAAAATGGAAAATTTAGAAAAGTAAGAAAAAAAAAAGTCACCTAGATTTTCACCACACTTAATATTTAGCATATATATTTCTAGTTTCTTTTCCCTCATAGATAATTTTTTTTTAATTTAATAAAAGATAGTCATGATTTATCCCAGACTATTTATATGTAATATAAAGGAATCTAAGCATTATATATTATATAAAAAATCACTAGTAGTAGTGAATCAGCTGAGTTCTCCTTGTATTATTTTAGGCTTTCTTTTTAGACCCTCAAAAAATACTGTATATTCCAAATTTTGTTTCAATTACATATAATTTTGAGGGATAATTTTAGAACTTAGATAACATTTAAAATATTTTAGTAAAGTTTAAATTATTTAAAAACTGTCATTTATTAATATCTTATGTAAATTATGGCAGAAGCACAGACCATAAATTTGAGAAAAACTAGATGTTACAGTGTGCTTATTGTCATAATCTAATTGTTTAAAGTGGAACTTCGACTGATGCTCATATTGCTTATGTTGGCTTTTATTTTGCAGGTCCCAGAGCACCTGGAAAGACCTGCAAAGACTCAGTTACAGAAAATCCAGAGACAGCAAGTAAAACCCTTCATGACTTTTGATAACCAGATTGTCAGCCAGACTCTTCAACAGTCACATCCCCCAACACCAAGCAGTGAGCTTCTGGAAAAGCATGGACACCTGTCTCCTGAGAGTGACCCTGGACTCACTGGAAACACACATACCAAGTTGCTAACTCTTGGAAAAGAAGATGACAGAGCAGAATGGCATGTATGTCTAATAGCTGCTTATGAGTATATGAGTGTATATGATCAGATTTTGGAAAAAAGAACACAAAGAAACTGAAGCTGACATTTTTACAGTAAACATTCCAAAGACAAATTCATTGAACAAAAGGGCTGTCTTAATTTATTAATTTGTAACATTTATATACATATTATTATGCATGATAAAATATAACTCATTTAAAAATATTCATTTAAGTTTTATGTCAATGTGAGTCAAAATAAGCTCTAATAGTAATTTATGTTAAGATTTAGATTTAATTGTACAGGGTTTCTGATAACTTCAGTTAAGATATTTGTCAGTAGTTCAATTATCTTAAATATCCATTAAAATAAAACAGGCAGAAATTGTTTAAGTAGCAGTAAATACATGCTCTAAAAATGTCCATTAGAATAGGACTAATAATAATGTTGCACTTCATATTTTTGGAATTATATCTGGATTTTTTTACTATTGGCTATCTATTCATTTCCATTTTCAACAAAAACTTGCCTACCATTTACTAACGAACAGGAATTACCATTTACTAATGAAGAGGAATTTAGAGGTGTTGAGGACACAAAATGACTAAGAGTGTCTGGCTTCAAGATATTTATATTTATTGTGACTTGCATATAAATGAATCTTAAAAAATACAGAAGAATGAATTGAGCTTGGAAAGTAGAAGTGGGAAAAAGACTTCCTTTAATATATCAATGTAGAAAAACTACATTATTATTTGAGCTTTCTCTTTTCAGTTTCTTCTTTTTTTTTTCCATTTAATTTGTTAAATGGAGTCATGGTCCTATGATCTCCCAGGTTTAGTCTCCCAGTCTACATTCCTGGTGATTATTACTGATTTCAGGTCTCTGCTATTAAGGCTGTAGACTCCAGGCACAAAAAAGTAATGCTCAGTATTTCATTATTTGAATTCCAAATGATAGAGGAAGATTTTTTTTTGTAAATTTTATGTTAATCTGGGTAAGTGGAAAAAAATAAAGATCTGGTAAATTGTTTAATGAAATTTAAAACAGCCATAAAATAGGACTCATTGAAATCCAAAACTGAACATAAATCTCTACATGTATATTTACTTAAACTTTTCAATTGTGGATACGCAAAGAATTTTCAAAAAAAGAAAAGAATATAGAGCTAGGTTCTCCATTCACTCTATGAAGATCGAAAAAATAAATATAGGATGAAAATCATCTGTACAGTAAATATTAGAACTCACCCAATACAATTTATTTTACAACCACTTTCTTCTGAAATTCATTTCCTTGTGTGGAAGATTGATTTCCAAAGGCAAAAAACAAATCCCAAGGGATATGCATATGCCAGTCAATTCTAGGCAAAACCCAGAAACTGATCTTATTATGTATCTTATGAAAAATGTTTTCTAAAAAATGAGAAAGAATAAGTAACATATATCAGTCTTCTTGGTTTTTCATGGTTAATAATGGTTATTCCTTAGGCACACAGCTTACCATTCTTTTATAACTTTGTACACTATAAAGGAAATTTACATGATCATAGTGGTCCTTTAAGTGGTGTCAGTCAACGGTAGTTGCATGACTGGTAAGGGTTGAAAACCCCAAGAAGTGCGGTGGTCTAGGAGCAATGTGCACATTGGCTACAGACAAACGTTTTTTTATTTTTTAAACCATTGTACTTTATGCATAAAAGTCCCTTCCATCATTGTCCATTTAGTCATAATTTCATTTTGCATTATAGTTTTAATCAGTGTGGTTCTCTTTGAATCTGACTTTTCATGCACACATTTTCACATCCTACCATCATTCAATCTTGTTATCTTTAACAGCTGAGATATATCCTGTTGTTGCGATTTCCTAACATTCCTTATTTGGTGCCAGGAGTTGGTGTTACAAAGAAAGTGTGCAGTTTTACAGTTAAGCAGCAGGAGGTTAGAACCACACACAACCAGCCGTGTGGTCCTAATTCTGAACCTCTTTCCCCCACATTCCTGCACATTTAAGAACTTTTTAAAGTTTCTAACACAAGCACAGAGTGGGGGTCCAGGAGATGGTGGCTGTAGTCATCTTTTGGTATTTCTTTCTTCTCAGCTTGTCCTCCTGTGACATCATGGAACATTTCACTAATTCAAAGAAGATTCCAGAAATCATAGCCACTACAGAACAAGTCTGTACAGAACAAGTCTCTACAAGTGAGAGCACCTTAGATTCAGGATTTGGGAATTGGAATTAGTAGTAACTTGGTAATTAAAGGTCACTTAGACAGAGGTATATAAAATCAAAAGAAGCATTTTTATAGCATGGGTCTTTCCAGGATAAAATCCAAATTTTTATTCATAACACACAGGACCCTTCCACACGTAACCCTTGCCTCCTGACCCGGACCCACCCTCCGGCAGCTCCAAGGCTCTCTGTGCATAAGCCATGGCTTCACTAGTGATTCTCACAGTGGCCAGGTTCTCTCTTCTTACATCCTTTCTTTACTCGTTCAATCTTCACCATTTATCTAGATAATTCCAATTCGCTCTTCAAAATTCATTTCAGGTTTCTTCTCTGTGGTGGTTTTGTTGGTGGTTCTTTGTATGGATTAGGTGCCTATTCTCCGACTTTACATAGTAACACTTGTATAGATAAACACTGCAGCATTTTCATAGCACATGCTACATTTTAATTATTCATTGTCTTGTTTTTCTTTCCGACTACACTCTAGGAGCTTCAGTTTTTGGGGAAGAGCAAAAAAGAAAGCACATAAATGTAGTATTATGTAGAAAGGACAACGGTAGGAGTGTAGAAGTGCTGTGTTATCCAGAAGTACATCAGTAGCAATACTTAGAGCAAAGTAGCTAGCAGGGCCTTTAGCCAGCTGAGATAATAAGAGCAAAGAATAGAGATGGAAACAGCAGGAGATGAGTAGAAAATGAGAGGCAGGTGGTGGTAAAAGGCAACACCAGGAAAGTAGGCAATAAACAAATCACAGAAAGGTGGCACTCCATGGTAAGCAATTTCATGGAGGCTGCATGTGGGGGCTGGATGATATTATCATATTTAACTTTAATTAATCACTCTCAGCTACACAGGGGAAGAAGCACGGAGGGAGCTGGGAACCAATTGGAAGGTGATTTCTGTGACGCAGTGAGAGATGATGAGGCTCTCCACTGGAGCAGGCCTCCGTGAGACCGCCCTGTGGAGGAGCTGGTGGCACAGCTACATCTCCAAGTTTGCTTTGGGGAGGAATAACGTCAACTGTAGCAAGCGGTTTGAGAGTGGTCAGCGTGTAGGTGGTACCTGCAAATGTGAACAAGAGAGCAAGAGCTCTTGGAAAACATAAATATAGTGAGGATCATGATGAATCAAGGACAGAATTGAGGAGATCACCAACATTTAAGGGGTGGTCAGAGGAGGGCCCATGAAGTCAAAGTAAAAAGTTACCCGGTGTGGTGTCGCTGAAACGAAAGAAAGAGCTAAAGGAGAGAATGATCTACACATGCAAATATAGTAGCTCAGTCTAGTAAAATAAGGACCAAAACTTGTCTTTTGGATTTGGCAGTCAAGCAGCCAAAGAAAACAGCAATTAAAGGAATTTCAGTAGAATGGTGGGCAGAAACTACTCTGCTTTGGATTCAGAGTTAACAGGAGGTGGTGAGGATGAAGTCCTGGAATGTTTGGGACAGTTGGGCAGAGAGATAATACAGCAAAGGCATAGAGGGTCATAAAATGAGAATTGTTCAGTTGATCAGCCACAGGGTCTATATTGGATCTAAAAGGAAGATGGCATTTGATGAGAGAGATAATGGAATTTAAGATTTCAGGAATGGAACAGTTTAGAGGATGAGAAGACTCAAGGCATGGCCTAAGAATAGGTGGAAAGAAGACTAAATTCAGATTTATGACTTGGAGCATGGCAAGTTTAAAATATTTGACTATAATTGTTGGTTTATTTTTCCATAGGATTCTGACAGTTGTTGCCATAGATATTTTTAGGTGCATATGAATTCATGATCACTTCATATTATTTTTCCTTTAAAATTGCATCTTGAAGTTTATGTGCCCTAATATTAAAATTTTCTACTGTGGCTTTCCTTTGGGCTATATTTGTGGCGTATCTTTCACTTTATTTTCAGCTTTCTATATTATTCTATTTTAAATGTGTCCCATATAGACAAAATAATGCAATTTTTAAAAATCTAATTAGATTTTCTCAGGCATTCTGTTAACTCATTTACATTCTTGTAATTACTTTACTATTAGGATTTCACAGATACCTTTTTTCATGTTTTTTTAATTACCGTATTTTCTGTTTTATTATTTATCTGTCATTTCTTTTTCTGTTCTCCATCAGACAGGTTAAGTTATTTGCTCTTTTTTTTTGTTATTCCTGACTTTTTAAGACACACAGTTACATTTTTTTATATCTCTATCATTGTTTAGCAATATCTATGTCATACCCAAGAATGGGCTCAGCTCCTTCTTGTTTTCACCTGTCTTCCTGTGTTATTTATAGAATCTACCTATCTATGTATCTATTGTCTATCGGCTATCTATCTATCTGTCTATATTGTTATTTGGACCCCCAAAATTTTACTGTTACTCATTCTTCTTATATTTTGTACTGATGTCATAGCTTTATTTATCATCTAACTGGAGTAGTTCTTGAAAGACTGTTTTCAAAGGTCCTTTTGCCTTAAAACCTGTGAGTTTTTATGCCTAAGAAAAACATTACCCACATACTTAAAAGATATTTTATTGCTTATAAATGCCTAGGTTCAAAATTCTTTACCTTGAATATTATGCCATTGTCTTCTTGCACCTAGTATTGTTGAAAAGTTTCACTCTTGGTTGTTAGTAAACCTTTATTTTTAAATCACTTAAAGGAAAGCTTATAAACGTTTTCCTTTGTCCTTGAACCTTATACTTTCCATGCCTGTTATATCCATTTTGATTTTAGTCAAAATATTTTTTTTATTTCTTTGTTTTTCATTATCTTCATTTATCACTTTATGGATGCTTATTCTGCTTATTTGTAATTCTTTTGTTTAATATGTTAATTCTGTTTCATCAGATATAAAATGCTGTTTTTTGTTGTCTTTTTTAAAATAGCAGCTAGATTTTTAGATGATTGATTATGAAGATTCCTAGAAGCTGTGAAACTAAATTCTTGAATGGATTTTAGACCTTAACGTCAATTTAGGATAATGGAAGAACTAATGTCTTCAATAAATTAGGAAAAAGATAGTCATGAAGGTGGATGACAGAAATGAGGGACAGCAGTGTCACAGGGAAAAGAAGGGCCTCTAAGGAGGGTGAATTTTCATATAGGAAAGAAAGGTTTCCTTCTGGAATAGGAGAAACCTAAGCATGTTTATAGGCAAGAGGAAAAATTAAAGATGCAAGAGAGTGGGTTATTTATGATGTAAGTTTCCAGAAAGAAAGGGGATGAATGACTTATGTGTAATTTTTACTGAAACAACTAGAAGTACCCCAAAGGAAAGCATTTACCGTAAATTGTGTTTAGCTTCCTTCTTCCCTCAGGTCTTCTTCACATCTTAAACAGATGTGTTGCCCACTTAATGGTAGAATGTGAATGAAAGAAATACCATTAAGTTAAAATTTGAGTTTAGTAACAGTCAAGAAGGTACTTTAAACCTTCCACGGATGGTACTAACCACAGCAAAGCGTGTGTTTATTTCCTAGATCCTTTATCTCTCAATGTCCATGGAGTAACATCTAAAGTCCAGACCATAGCCTAGAGCTGCACTTCTGATATAGTACCCGCTAGCCACATGTAGCTACTTAAATTTAACTTTAAATTAATTCAAGTTCAATGAAATCTTTAAAAATTAAATGAAATTAAAAATTCAGTTCCTCAGTTACACTAACCACAATTAAGGGCTCAGTATCCATATGTGGTTATTTGCTATTATATTGGGCAGTACAGATATGGGACATCCCCATTATTGCAGAAATTTTTATTGGACACCACTGGCCCTGAGGGTTCTACAGTGAGTTCCTGGCCATCCCAAGCCTTTCCTGCTCTTGCTCACTCCACTCCTCTCGCCTTCCTTCAAATCCTGAGCTTCTTCCTATCTCAGGTCTTTGTATTTTTGCCTCCCTTCTAAGGACTACCCTTCCCCATGCTATTCAGGTCTCTGTTCAAATACTAGTAAATCCTTTTCTGACCATTTTCTAAAATAACACTCATGTCATCAGGCTCTATCCCCTACCTCCTTTAATTTCTTCAGACTACTGCCTATTAGTAAGCTGTTTATTGTCTGTTTCTGCAATCAAGTTTGAGCTTCATGAGGGCAGCAACTGTGTGCTGTTTGCTTCTTTTACAGTTTCAGTACTTACAAGGTCTTACAGTAAATATGGTCAACAAATATTTTTTAATCTATGGATAGTGTTGTGATTTGTTTGTTTATCACCGTTAGGAATATCTTAGTAGAAGACTGAGAGCATTTGATTCTCGAAGGTTCTCAAAAATCTTGCTTAAGAGAGAACATTAACAGAATCATATATTTTTGTATATCTCCCAGAGTTTACTCCTGGTTGTTTCTTCACATGGGAAATTTAGAGTACTACAGTTACATAAATTCAGTAGCCTCACTATCTTTGAGTTTACATCATGTTTTAAAATTTCAGTAAAGAGAATATGATGGGAGAGAAGAGAGCTAGAGTGAGAAAGAAGGAGAGGGAGCAATATGGTATTTTAAGAATAAAAGGTCTTCAAATCCTCCAGCTAAAGTAAAAGGAAATGAGGGCTATTTTAGAAAGGAGAGCAAGGGAGTAAAAGGCTGAGTTAATTTAGGACTATACAGCCTGGTTTCCAGGATTTCAATCCTGCCTTTGTCACTCACTAACTATATAATCTGCAACAAGTCTTTGAACTTTTTTTCTCTGTTTCCTCATCTGTGCAATGAAGATAATGATAGGGTACACTTCATAGGACGGTTGTGAAGATTCAAGGAGTTGATATATGCAAAGCACGTACAACAGTGCCTGGCAAATGCCCTGACTATATGTTTGTTCTTGTTACTATTGAATGTGTCTATAATTATTATTGTTGTTATTAATTACTGCTACTGTTATTATTTTGGTCATTAGAGAAAGCTGAATAATATGTTTCAATGTAGTTCATGTCTGTGTGGGCTAATGAGCTAAAATTTGACTACTGATATCTGAATATCCACATGCAAGATGCAATCAAAACATTTTGAAAGAAAAACAAAGTTTGTAGGAAGTCGTCTCTTACATATATGGGCTCTGAGTTGCGGTACCTCATGGTAACCGCGCTATCTATGTGGATACTGATTTCCAGAGGCCCAGCCCGGGGCGCCTCACCCAGCCATCACCTCCTGCAAACGCAAGGAAAAGCAACACAAATCGAAGAGTGTCAGGGCTACTTCACTTTAAGTTCTAAAATATTCTGTGTTTTGCTAGACATATAACCTTAAGTATTCTAAAAATTTTCAAAGATTGCAAAAATTTCTCCCTATGAATTCAGGTTGAAGCATAACTTTTATCACTATGCACAATATTCTAAATGTATTATATTTTGCTAGATGGAGGACGTTATTGAGGATATAATCGGTATGGAATCAAGTTTTAAAGAGGAAGGAACAGACTCTCCTCTGCTAATGCAAAGAACAGTAAGTGTTTCCAGACCTGAGGAGGTCAATGAAATTGACATAAATAATAGCATCTAATGATAAAAAGTGAGATTTCATTTGATTAGCAAATGGTGTTTTTCTTCTGCACTTTTGAAACAGAGGATCACAGATGAATATTAGAAAATATTTATTGGTGCAGAAAAATGTTATTGAGGAAGATGATAGGGCTTGTAGTGTGCCATCTATCTCTCTAATCTCTATAAACATCCTCTATATATCCTATATATCTAGTCTGTTACAGCATCTTGTATGTATGATTTGATCTTAGGATTTCCTGTTTGAATCAGAGAATATAATCACACACCCTCATAAACTCATGGCTTAATTTTATCCATTTTACCATGTCTAACAGCTATCAGAGACTCTACACTTGGTAGAGGAGAAAAATATTTTAACAGCAAAAAAAATTTAACTTGTGAGACAATAGCCAGAGGTTAAAGATGAACTGAAGAAAGGTAGAAGGGGCCTCGCCCTCCTTAAGGCATGTAGACAGACTTCTATGTCGAAATGAGCACAAATTCCTGGAATAATATGCAATGAAGGGATGGTATCTTATCTTCTATTTGATTGCTCTTATGTTCACTGTACATTTATTAATCACTAAACATGTTATCTGTACAGAGTGTGCAAGCTCTTTCCATGCATTTTGAAGGGTTATTCTTGGTTAGTTTGTTTATGGTTTTAGACCTTTAGAAAAATGAGAAAAAATATGAAAGATTGGATTTGTTACTCTAAACATTCTATTTTTAAAAAGTGAATTCTGGCTATAGTACATATATATTGTATGTTCACCAATAAATCAATGGGTGGGGCTATATTAATGATGGATATTTAAATTTAAAGCCCTAGAAAACATTGGAGAAGGCAACCTTTTTTCTTTAGTAGTTCCCAAATAGACTAATTGAAGAGAAAAATATCTCTTTCCTCCTTTTCTCCAGTCTGCAGGACCTCCATTTTATAAAAAGTCACTAATACTAATATTACCTGGCAAAGATCAGATGAGATTATACCTAGTTTTGTGCAGGTCTTTTTTCTTTTAGGGCAGAGTAACAATTCTTTCCACCTCTTCCTTCTTCAGATTTCAAGCAGATAGTTACATGAAATTCAATGAAATCTCTGGATAAATATGTTATTAATGCTAATTTCTCCTTGTCTAATTTCATGAGGATGCTATTTTCTTACCAGCATTCAACATCTGGGTTTGAGGAAATGATATTCATTTCCTGCAATCTTCTCTTCCTTGTTAGTGGTACTTACTTCATTGAAATTGTGCGTTGAAACATTCTCTTTGTCACATTTTCTTACTTGTTTTGTAGTAGCTGCATAGTATGGCTTAGTGCACATTGGTGGTGGTGATGACTATAAGGAATTTGCTTTTGATATTCAGAATGTGCTGTTAAGTAGATACAACTGGTCTTTCTGTACTTATAAAAAGAAATATCTGCTGTGGACCAATCAGTAGTCAGAAATAAATCTAAATCACCATAGAAAACAAGCAGTTCAATTAACCAAATATTTATTCAAAATGTGCTATATGCAAAGCATAATACACACACCATAGAAAACTACAAGTTGAGCGAGACACAGTTTACATGTCAAGAACACATGACATGGGGCAGTGCAGAGAGCTGCCCATGAGCAGCAGGGACGAAAAGTGCAGATCTTCGTGTTAAATCCAGCTTCTAACCTGAACATCGTACAAGTCACGTAACCTCTCTTTGCTTTCTTCTTGTGCATTATGAAAATTAACAATACTTGTTTCCAAGGCTGTTTTTATATTAAATCTTAGTAGACTCATGTGCATATTTTAAATGCTGGTCAGAGAGGTACTCTGGAGTTCCAAGTGAAGGAGAAACCATGCTAAATTGAGATTTTTCTGAAGTACTTTAGGAAAAGATGATGTTTGAAATATAGTTATAAAGGATGGTTAAGATTTTACGACATGAAGGCAGAAAATTAGCAGGTTAAGAGAACAACATAAAAAAAGGCAAGAAGTGAGAAAAAAGAGAATGTCTAAGAATGGCCAGTAAAAGAGATAGGGAAACCCTGAACAATTTTTATAGTTCATGTGGATAAAAATAAAGGCCTGTTAGGAATGCATTGAGAAAGCATATTAGCTAGAGAACTTTTGATTGTAGATGGTAGAACCTGGCCCATATTGTAAGCTTAAGCATGAAAGGAATTTGTTCATGTCATCTATAAATTCCTAAGTAATACTGTATATTGGCAACCCTCCATAACTCTGCCTTCTTTTCTTCTGAGCTGGCTTTATTCTCAGCTGCTAGGCAGACACTATCACAGCCTATTCCTAGTTATGCACACAGTTCTTCATTGCTAACCTAGTTTGTTTTTTCCATTCCTTCACAAGAAAGAGGAAATTTCTGACTAACTGAAGACAGTCCTGGTGGCCCCATTTCACTTCCAGGAACCCTTAAGAATGAGCGTTTTGTTGCAATTCTGGCATGGTGAGCAGGGTGCTGGGGCCTTCTAGGAATTTCCTTTAGTCTTTAAAGGATATCCAAGAAAGAAAAGGTTTTTGCCTCTCTCTGGTGTGGCAGGGCAATGTGCTCACTCAGGTAGTCAGTTTGTTGCCCAGAAGATAAAGTAAGGAAAAGCAAAACAAAAACAAAAACAAAAGGAGAGGAAAAGCCAATAGAAATGCAGACACACTGCTTATATGCCCTTGGGGAGTTCTTTAGCTATGGACTTAACGGTATGTAAGATTTTTTTTTCTTCCTTTTATAGGTTAATTTTATCAGGATTTTTCTGATTGGGTTACCTAATGGATATATTCAGTCAGGCTTGGCTACCTGAGAAGGAGAGCTTCCTTATCCCCTTAGTTCCAGTTAAATCCCTGGAATAATTCTTCTTGGAGCAATCTCTGTCATATAGCTATCCCTAAACCAGTTTCTCTGGGTCTTGGGACTCACGTTAGAGCTGTTTTGACTGAGAAACCAACACAACAAATTGTCTAGGCTAAACAGTGAAAACCAGGGGCACAGGAGTTACTGCTAAAGTACACGTGAATGCATTCTAGTAGGCTAAACAGGTCCGTTATGGTAAGCTGCAAAAACAAGGATATTTATCACTAACAATAGTTATTATTAATTTCTTACCTCCTCCTATTATATGCAAAGTCTCCAGGACATTCTGTTGAGAGTGCCCGTTAGTCACTTTAGGTCTCGTTTGCTGTGGCCCGTGCAGAAAACCTTGAATGTCACTTAACTAAGATTTAACCCAGGACCATTGTGTGTAGGCTTAATGAAAAGACATGTTATAACTTCTCTTGGCAGGAAACTTGGAAGCTGATGAGAGGAAGCCTGGGTCACTTCTGGTAGTTCTTCTCATTTATTTGGGTTGAATGAAGTAGTTCAAGGTTTTCACAGATCAATTAAGCCCAGGAATTTCTGACCCAGACATGAATTGTAAGTAATTAGTGGCTAGACTCAGAATAATGAAGCCCCTCTTGACTCCTACTTGATAAAGAGGGTTAGCTTCCTGACATTCATTCCAGCAGCAAGAGCTGTGTAAACTGGACCGAAAAGAACTGAAGTGCAAGAAACACCCAGCCGATCAACGTCCTTCTGTCAACACCTTCACCTCTCAGTTTCTCCATCTCAGTGCTGATGGCATTTTTCTCTTCCCCACTTAGCAATCTCCTTATGTGATGATATCATGGATCATGTTTTTACCATTTCTCTATGCCATAACAGTTTTATATCACACTTTTTAACCATTGCATTCTGTTTTTTCAGCCCACCTTCTCTAGTGGTCTTACTTCTCCAACGGCTCAAGCTTGTGGAGACTCTAAAGCAAATGACTCTGTGGCTATTTTCAATTGTCACTACTTCCCACTCAGACATTTTAAAGATTTCTTCCTTAACCTGCTAGAGTTCTTGGTCAAGCACTCTAACCAATTATCTGGCAAACACTCTTAACATGTCCCCAGTCTTCCTTCATTCTACCCTCCTGGCAGAATCCCAACCCTGATAAAATTTAGCTCTCATCTTCCCCTACATCTTAACCTGGGCACCACATTGCTCATAGTACTCTCCTCAGAAGTCACCGAAATTTCACAGAGCGTTTTCACCACTACCAGACAGTACACTTCCCATTAATTGAGACAATTTTTTTTATCTTCTCTCCTCAAAACTCCACGATTCACTGTCCATTCTCCATTTTTCAGCTGATTTCTTTCATAACCTGTTTCAGAAAGCAGATACATGAAGTCAGATTAGATCTTACTACCTTTGTGTTACCAATTTCACTAAACCACCTGTTTTAATTTTTTCTGCCATCTCTTCTATTAGAATAATTGTCCCTGCTCATAACCTCAAGCCTGCCCACCATTGTGTCCTGGGTCCCACTTATTCTCACCTTCTCAAGGATTCTCCTTCTATAATAGCAACTCCTTCTCCTCTGTTATCAGTCTATTATGACCTATTGGATTATAAATATCAGCATTACACTGGTCTTTGAAAACACCCCCTAAACATAAAACCAAACTGAGCAATACTCTTTGAACACATTTTCTCTCCAGCTGCCATGGCATTTCATGATTCACTTTCTCTCAAAAACACTCACTGCTTCCATTTTCACCCTGCCTCCATTTCCTCACCTCCCATTTTCTACCCTCCAATTGAGCTACTGTCCTCACAATTTTAAAAGAGCTCATAAACTCAGCCAGTGCAGAAGCCAACAGTAAATTCTCCATTCTCACCTCATGTGGCTTCTCAGTAGCTTTTGTCATTTTGGCCACTCCCTCTTTCTTGAAGTACTATCTGGGATTCTGTGGCACCATATTTTCTATTTTTACCCACCTTGCTGATTTTTTCTCCTCTAAGAGATGTGTAAGTGCTACAGTGTCCTAAGGCTCAGACTTCAGCCCTCCTTCTCATGTATCTATACCTACTATAGATGATTGCAACTCATCTCCAGCCTAGATCTCCTCCCTATATGCTAGACTCATATATCTTACT